AAAAACTTTTTTCCAAATTAGGTATACTGATTATTTTATGCGCGAACAAAATATACAGTTAAGTGGCTATGTTAATGTATTGATACAGCAACTTGAACAGCAATTTATTACAACGTCTTCGATACACAACGCTCTCTACGTAACTACTACGCGCTACGTAGTGGACTAGAAAATATGCACGTTTGTCTAATTGCAGGCTACGCCGCCGTAGCAGCGCGTAGCGTAGCACGACCGTTATGCGACGCGCGGCGACTGTGGCGATAGTAAGTCAAAGCAGCGTGCAGGTAAAACAACAAATTGTTTAATTCAGTGTATCGTGCGTCTAAGTCGGCAATTTATCCAATTAGGCGTCTGCCGGACCACCCACCGCGCTCCACTATTAAACATAAATTATAAATAATTTGGTAAAGTTTATTTTGGCTCCAGTCCTCACTGATTGCTGCGGTTAGGAAGCTAGTGGATGAAATGTGTTCCACTCCGCAGGATATATTTGTGTTTAGTTTATCTTAAGTTGGGTTTTATGGCTTTGGAGCGCTACAGCCGTATTCCAGAGAGAAGTAACATAATTATACTGCGTGTCTATTAAAAACTAGGTTTACACACACTTTGCGTGCGTAGTTGTTATACATAATTATGACTCATAATGGCATTAAATTGGTTCAATTCGTTTAAACTGGTAATTACCATTGTAAGCATCACAATCCTAATAAACTTAAAGAAACGACGTGTTTATTATGCAGAGTTACATGATAGTTAACTACAAAACGTTTATTAATTTGTGACCTGACATCAGATACTTTAATCCGTAAACGTTAATTTAGTTAATGATAGGGAAAATGATACTGTGTGGCGCCGCATAACAGTCGCAAGTTAGGAGCTTTATAGTAGGCACGTAAATTAAATGGCACTCGGTTCTAAATCAAACAATTTATAGCAGCAACTACTACATTATTTAACGAGGGGCCGGCGTGACATGTTTTTATCAAGATGTCGGTGCGAAGCGCGAGGTGCGAAACCGAAGAGCATGCAATTAAAATACTCCAAGTGGTTGATTTACGTCGGACGCGCACGCGCATACGCCAACCGTCTCCGTCTCCCGAGAACTAATGTACGTATCAACTGCAAACATACACGTTTTATTGTTCACCCATTCATAATGGCGTAAACACATTCTACGATTCACCCGGACGTGAGTTTGTAAACGACGACAATGTATCACGGACTGATTCATTATTTGAATCCGCTCGTATATTGCTGTTTCTATGTGCTGTGTCAGAACAAACCTAATGAGCTTGACATAAAAAACTTGCAATTAACTGTACATAAAATTGATAAGAATTCAACTAAACCTAACCGAAACTTTCAACCTTGATTGCTGGTGAAAGTACAAACTTTAAATGCTACGATTCGTAGCGAACGAATGACTTATTGTAGGTACTTACTACAGAGACAGCCAACAGTTCTGTGAAAAGAAACCCCGCATTTAAAATCCGAGTGGAAATTCATCAAACGAAAGTTACATGAACAAACGTGATTACGATTTTTAAAGAGATGCTATTTAAATGCCATTCGCTGTCAAATAACTCAGTCTATGTGTCATTCTGTCCTTGATCTGTCTAATAGAGAGTGCGTGCGGAATTACTGTATTTCTGAATCTAAATTCATCTTGTGACACGTTTCTCAGTTTACGAGGACTATAAAATGGTATGGCGACATGCGCGTCAGGCGTGCACACTCACAACATGTCAATGAGTCGCCGGTAATCCCACTTGGCACATTCAAAAACTATCTGGAAGCGCCCCGGCCGCGATAATGATTTAACCACCACTATCTGCCTTACACGGTTCTTCAAATAAGTAAAGGTAATGCGTATTTAATTGGTCCCAAGGATGTCCGACGCCATATCCAGTCATGTTTAACTCTGTGTATGCAACGATTGGCTAAAATTCAGGCAGTGGACGGTGCAGCGCGGGGCCATAAATTTGTCAATGTCACGCCTGTCGGCAGCACGACTACTACTAATTTTTATTAAACAACGTGATCACTGACTGGAATGCCAAAAGGTAATCACGAATGCGAGTTAGATGCATATCGCATACGCCATTTTAAAGGAATAGGTAGGTAAGTACATGGTACATCCTTTGCTGTAACGATTATGATCTACGTATTGTATTATGTATTTGGAACTTGGACTGTCTGCACAGTGCCCATAGTATTTGATTTAATTTCAAAAGCCAATACCTAAGTGATAGCTATGTAAACGTCGTTTGAGTTACTTTGAACGTGTAGTCAAACTTGAAAAGCCCTAGTCTTGTCCATTCTTGAAATATATATATATATCTATGATATTGTTAGAAAGTAAATACATAGTATGTATTTCTAATATCTAACAATATCCTGTAATTCCCAAGGTCTGATCTTATAATTGAAACGTTTTACAGGCTGGTCTCAATCCCGTACCTCACGCGAGGTTCTTAGAAGATGTATAAGAGCGACACCCCGCTGCGTCTTCGCCCGAAGTGTCAAAATGTCCAAGTATAGCCACCCTTAAGAAACCAAATAACAAAAACGCTTACAAACTGAGGGCTTTGGGAACTAACCTTTAAGGGCGAGAAAATAAAACATATTCTATGGTTGTTTAGTGATATTTGTGTAATGGTTTAGTATATTTGCGGTCCCTAATATCGCGAGATCGATCTATCAGTTGCATTCACATTATGGGTGGAATGGATTCAATAGGAACGTTTACACCTCCACGGTTTCTGGGAAGGCTGTACACTCCGTGAAATCGAGTTGTCGTCAGGTGTGGCTTGAGATGTTAATCCGATCGACTTTATATTACCTGTATAATGCACTAAAGTTTTATTGTTGTTATTAGATCTTATCTATCAGTGAGATATCTTTTATCCAAGCTCGTTAAAACGGTCTTTGTACGCCTACATGAATGTTGTTGACGTTTGACGTTAATATTTTAGGTATTTTCACATTTGTTAAATATTGTAGAATCGTTGCCTCTACTTTCGATAATATGTATTAAAATATATTTTGTAACCAAACAATCAGCAAATGTTGCTATTCGTACACTATGTGTAGATGTAGATGTTTATGAATAACGATTAAATGAAGCGATATTTATTAAAAATCTCATTTGACATCAAACTCACAACTATTGTTAAAAATCACCAAACTTCAGAATGTTGCAATTCTTATTGCAACATTCATTTCAGATCATAGATTTCAGGTCAAACTAGTTTGGCCTAACTAGTCCAAAGCGGCGGCAGTTATAGGTCTATTTCTACAGGGTTACAGGCCTACAGGATTTAAAGTAACTTAACGAATGGCATGAGGATAGGTACTGAGGATAGCTATAGTAGTTTAGGCTAGGCCAAACTAGTTTGACCTGAAATACGCGCAAAAATTACTTTTATTGTCATCATAATCTGACAAATTCTGACCATTTTCATAACGGCAAGCATTATTTATTATTGTTTTCTTATTTCGATCATCAATATTTCCAATCTTAATAATTATACTTAGCTTGATATCTGACTGCAACACTCACTAATGAAATGCTTGAGACTTACCTGGTTTACGTATCTCATTTTAAGATTTCAAGCACACGATATGGGTAATGTCGTAGCATACTAATACAGCCTTTATTTGGCAAAGCACGATGTGGATAATATTCATGTCGCGTTTTTCAAAAACATGGTAGTGAGGAGCCACTAGCCACCCTGCTCAATAGGCTCGGAGCACCGGCAACCTGTCACATCTGTCATTCCAATAGACTGAACTGACACCACTGGTTATGGATTATCGTGCTGATATGACTGATGTATGATGTTATCTTTGATGGTCAAGATTGTATGCAAAATACTTTGTAGTCATGTAGGTACCTATGATATAATCACTTGTTTATTTATTCTTTTTTCAGAGTTTATCAAAAACGTTATGAATCCTGACATTCTTAGTGATTGTGCAATATGTATTGTGACAATCAGTGATCGGTTACAACAGTGTCTAGTGTCGAGTGCATGGGGACAGGGCGGCAATCAGTCAGTGCGGCCGCTAAATAAATTCATTAGTTAAATCACCGCCGGCGGCGTTTTGTGTCGGTAACATCAAAGGGCCAGCCCGCCGCCCTGCCAGGGGCGCGCTCGTCCGACTTTTTACTCAGAAAACTCTGTAAACAAAATGATATGGTGCGTCCGAATGTTTGATCCGCCTTTATTATCTGTGTACAGAGAGAATGTTTAGCTAGCAAACGTACTCTCTTTGTGGTCATTGTGGGGATGTAATAACTTTTGTGAGTGCGGGTAAACAACGCTTTGAAGTGTCCCTAAGTTCCTGGATCCTCCTGATCTCGAATCTCAGCATCTGTAAATAAAACATTGGTGTAATCTGGTCAACTCAATTTGTAGTCCGTACCGACTAATTAAATGGGCTTTTCAAACTTTATTAAGAAATTTTCATTTCCACTAGCGTGGTATTAAATTATTATAGTACCGCCGATATCAGTAATGATAGTGTATTCGTTGTGATCCGGTGGCATTCTAGCAGCTTCATTCAATGCTTTTATTTTGCCGCTCAGCTTCCCTCTTTCTCTCAATTGTGTGAGCGAGACAAAAATAACATGTGTGTGGTCCTCCGGCGAGGGGGCTCGGCCGTTTCCGCCGGGCTTCGGGCGCCTTCGGTCCCAAGACGGCAACTTAATGGCTCGAATCATAATGGCGGCTCCACAAACATGCACTGTACGCACTCGAAGTTCGAATCAGTATTGCCCGAGTCGCGCTGCCGTCGACACGCAAACGCGCCGTAACTTTTGTAATGAAACTCGGTATCGTTCCGTGTTTCGTACGTTAAAGTGATTGATAGAAGTGACGAATTACTGGTGTAAAAGTGTGTGGTTATGTGGCGGCGAGTGATATGACAGCGTGCGCCGCCAGACGGACCCCGGCCGTCTTCATGAGGATACTGGTGACAAGCCTGGCCCCGAGATCATGGTGGCTCCCGATTCCGAGGCTCCTGCGAATCCTCGGATAGCGGCCGCCGCGCACGAGAGCCCCTCCGCAGCCGAGGCGCGCCACAGCGCCGACCTGTACATTCGCACCAGCTGGGTGGACGCGGCCTTAGCGCTCTCCGAACTTGAAAAGGTGCAGTGTTCACTAGATACACAACAGTTTAGTGTTGAGTTTCAATTGTCATATTGCACGTGTGATTGTTTTTCTGCGAATGCCAATCGCGGTTGAGGAACGCGGCAGCGCAAAGCGGTGGCGCCGACTAGTGGTAACTGTGCGTACTATCAAGGCCGCGCGTATTTCATAATGAAAAACATCTAGGCTACCTACTTGTTGATACGACAACATTGCTGAACTGTATTGGAATTATGACAGAAACACATATATTTATGCAGCAGGCCAATTAAAATTTTTAGAGTTATTTTACTCAGTTTTCTGTTCAACAAACCTGTTGATTGAAAAAGAAGTATTATTTAATGAAAAATGTTAATTTAACTTTTTGTAACGTTTACGATCTTTTCAAATGTTATGACAATTGTGCATTGAGTTGTCGTAGAAATCCTTACAAAAGTAGAGTCGAGCAGGCACGACTTGTATGTATATAGTACAGTGGCAGACGGGTTCGGGGAAGGTAGCGCTTTCCTAGAAGGCCGCACGCACGGTGGTCCGCACCCCTACCAGAGCCTTTCGCAAAACTTCTGTCTAAATGTTCAATACCGTGACTAAAAGTACAAGTTTATCAAAAACGTCAATATACCTATTTATTTACATTACAGTTTTTATAGAGTTAGTTGATAAATCGTCATACATATTCACAATTTTACAAACCATATTAACAACATTCAACCATAACATCATAAAACGGTAACCTTACTATCCTCCACTATCGCTACGTTAAGCATCCATAGCAACCATAAAAACAGCTGTAATCTGTAAGGTTAATGTAACATACCTTCACAGAATGTGTAGTTACTTATAATGTAGGAACTTGGTCGGTCGTATGCAAGATGAAGCAATTAAGGCACAGTGGGAGCGAGGCGCGCGGGGGCCTGCGCACGCGCAGCGCATCGGCGCCGATAGAGACATCAACGCGGCCCGCACGCCTCGACCCGCGCGCACACTAACAAAACATATACAGCCTTTTTTTTCAATATTATTATATCTTTTGTAGAATGAATCATGCAAATGACCGGAAACTTTACTAATTCATAAATTATAAATGGTTTTACAAATTATCGAGAGTTTTAAAAATATATAGGTAATTCTAATAGATTGATGCGATTAATTACGAAATGACAAAATGTCAATTTTATAGTGTTTTAAACCCTTAGGTTCTAAATACTAAAACTTCTCTCAAATTATGAACAAACATTTAAATTACATAACTGCTTCCTCAATATAAAAATAAAAGAATGCTATTCTACGAAGTTTTATGTCTGACAAGACCGCACAGAGCTCGCCTCGTGGAATTGAGACATCTTGTGGTTTCCGATCTTACATCTCTTTCCGTCCCAGCAAAAGGGCAGTTTCTTTCCTTTTCATTAAGTTTATATTCCATCTCTTTTCCACTCGTTTTTCCCACATATCGTCTGTCTTCGTCCAAACATTGCGTTCGCCGTCGGTCGGCAGCTGCGTTGGAGACCTATAAATGATTGTATATCCACAATTTTTAAAGGTGGGTTTTTTGGGCGGACTGCTCATTATATGTATTGAGACAAAACATGATTTTAAGTTATCTTAAGGCTCCTGAAGGTTTTCAGAATCTTTCTGGGACTTCATAAAGTACAAACTTACATCTAGCTATGAAAATCAGAGAAATTATTGTCTGCTAGACTGTGAAATGCATGTGGTGGCGGCAATTCTGGTATCAGATTACGGAATGCACTGGCTGGGCGCCGCAACACGTGGCCTATACACATCGTTGCACATTCAGCAATTTTCCTCATCACTGACCCTTGCCTCCGTCTCAGTAGCTCCACAACACCAGCTGTTTTTCCCTGTATTTTCAAGTATCCACCCAAAGGATATATGAAAATCTGGTAAAATTGGCACTAATAAGACACCAAATGTAGTGGTACTGAAATATGTCAAAACCTGCAGTTAAAAACTAAATCAATGTCTTAGCAAATGTGATCGTACAAACGCAACAATTAAATTGATTCAAATCCTAGCTATATTTGGATCCATTTTATTATTTTGTAAAGTGATCAAAATCAAACTTTAGTTGAACCACAAGTCAAGATGAGATCAATTTAAGATTTGGAAAACATATTAAAACCTCAATCATGCATTTCTATCATACCTTCCGTCCTGTGGCCCTTGTTTATTATAATTTAGTCAGTCGAAGTCTGCTCATTATTTTTAGAATGAACTCAGAAATTCGTCGGCTGCATCCAGATGTCGTCTATCTCCCGATCTCAACTATTAACCTAGTGCTTTATTGATAATATCGGTATCACATGGCGGTTGGAACCGGTTACGTTGTCCACCTAACTTGGCAACTTTCTCGATGTTATTGAATGCTTTCCGCTCCGGTTTGACATTACTCACCTCAGTAAATCTCTATACTATTGGTTTGCAAATAGACCACAATGTTAGGTTTCTTGTCAAGAATATCTTATTTTGCTTTACTAGGATAATCCTCATCTGATTCCAACAACAGTTATCTGCTACCATGTATGTATAATATTTTATCGTTCAAAAATTGTTGTTTAGTTCTATGTTTTTCGTCATTTTACCAGAAATACTTGTGCATTGCACTGTAGATACAACCATTGCTTTGCCGTTGAAACTGTACTCCTGGAGCCGGTCTCCGCATGCAGGTGATCGTTATTGTGGAACAGGAAATGAGTTTCAACGTTGTCTCCGAAGAATTGCCACACTCACAGCTGGTGCTCAGATTATGTATGTTCCATACTTTTCCGTTAACGGCTCGAATAACTAATGAGATTTTTACGAGCCGATGATAAATTTTATTAATTTGATATTTGAATGTTTATCAATTGTTGAAAAAATTATGCAGTTCAATACAGAAAGTAAATGCTGTTTTGCAGGTTACCTCCAAAGTCGTACTTAGATCAGATGGAGTTTTATTTGCATTCATTATGTCTGTGTTCGGATCACTGATGTATTATTCAGTTCGTTATGTGAACTAAAACAAAATCTATTTCCTAGTATAGCAAAAGGCGTCTTTGATGTTCTAGTGTCATATATGTGTGTAGAATTACGTAAAGAATTTAAAATGTCATTGACATTCAATGGCATTGGCAAGTGGCGCGCCGCCGCCGGTGGCCGACTGGCCAATTGGCCAAACGTGATGTCCTTGACGAGGGCCATTCGTATCTTTAATCATACATACATGCATGCTACAAAGTAGGCTGGAAGCGATAAAACATGTCATTAAATTTCTTTGTATGCCATAAACTGCCTGTTTTTGTACAAGTCATTTTTATTAAAGCGTAGATCCATCTTGTCTCAGAGTCTCATGAAGGTCTTGGGCAGAATGTTCAACTAAGGTTCGAATTATTTTGTATTCGAATTTTGATTAATACTGATTAGGGAGGCTTGCTTTAAGTGCTCGGACTTTTCATACAAAACTTAAATATTGCGCTAATCATGCAGTTTTCAACAAATCACCGTAGTATATTATAAAACATAAATAAGTGTAGTAGTATTTATGTTGATGAAGAGTTTGAAACACAAGACTCATGTATTGTAATGGAATGATGTTGGAGCTACACCCACATCCCATTATATGCAGATATAGGGAGCAGCCTGATCACTGCATGTCGATGGTACAGTCGTATAACTCGTACAGGATGTCACGGACCGCGCCAATCATACCACTCACTTCTCTCTTGTTGCTACGTTCAACTGATAAACTCCGACATGACAGATCTGAGTGATGCATCGCCCTCGCCCTCGCAACTGAGAAATATTGCTCATTCCATTTCTATACTTTTTGTATACGTTTTAAGGAATTGCTACTTTATTATGAAACTCATAAGCTAGAATCTATATTCATTTATCTACGTTGACTGCTTGTGTGTGGCCAATATGATAAACATGACAATAACAAAAAAATACTATTTAGAGTCACATAATGCAGTAATTAAATTGAGACAATAATTATACCGCGTTTGATCTTTGATAATAAATAAACGCTGGCGGCGTACTTACCAGCATATTATCTGTCGTTCGGTATTCATAACTAAAATTATCTCCTGACGGATACCTACAAGATGATAAAGAGAACAGTTGTTTATGAAGTGACTTATTAATAGCTACGCAAGTAGTATAAAGAGATTATGTCTGAACTGATCATTACCAGGCTCAATCGTGAGAATATGTGGATCTCCACTGGGCCAATGTCTTATCTGCAGGAAGCTCGTTCGCCGGCGCCAGCGTCGCGGATTATATTATAGATAATACCGTAACACTTGCGTCAGCAGTTTACGTAGGGAGCAATGACGTACCGTAGCTTTCTGTGGGTCTCCCACACCGGAGTAATTATCCCCAACTGGTGTCCTATAAGTTAATCACAATAATCGTTATGCACATGTGTGCCAAATTTGGTGCATGAATGAAGCTGAGCACTGAGTGGTGGTGGTGTTGTGGCGTGGTGGCGTGTTGCGTACGCTCCACGTGGGTCGCGCGGCGCGGCCGGGGCGCTCGGGGCAGGCGGGCGGCGCGGGCGCATTCCGACTGTGACGTCACGCCCACCCAGAGCGCCCGACATTCACCTCGTCCGTTCGCCCGCCGCACTGTACCCGGACCGTTCTACGACTCTCCACTGTATCTGCCATTATTGCTGCTACGATTTATTTATTTACGCTCGGAACTTAAACAACACAATTTCGTTGGAAAATAACGAACAGTTGCGCGAACTCGGCCCACCAACTGCATCAAATCATGATGATTGACCATAAGCACCAAAAAGATGTTGAAAACACTAATCATATTTAGATTTTTATATCACTTAATTCTAAAATTTTATCCTGTTTTTATAATATGTTGTCCTATGTTTTATGTCAATCCAATGTGCTTTCGTCTTGCTACTTTCTGCTTTTCAGAAATACGTTTTGCTTAGATTTGTATATAAAATATATCTTTTAAATTAGTCGATTCATTTCTTCACTTTTCCAATTTATGCCATATAAAGCAGGAAATTAAAATCATATAAAAGTAGGTTAAATTAAACACGAACCAGCTAATTATTTCCACATTACTGTTCTTCGACTTATCGAAATGACCATTACTAAAGGGCAAACGTACCCTTGATCGCTTAATCGCTTCATTCAACACGAGACGTCGATTGAGTTATTATTATGCAATTAGTAAGCGCTTCACAAGATTCGGAGTGTGTCGGCTGTTCTCGAGGTGGCTCCGACTGCGGCCGAGCGCGGCGCCACCGCTGCGGGCCCCGGCTCCGGCCGACCAGCCCACTCTCATTAATCACAATCAACTGAGAAATTATTTCGACGTTCAAAAACTTCAAAGTTATTATGTGTACCGCCAAAGCAATCTCATAATCTGTGTTTATTGATATAAGATTGAAAGTATAATAAACAATATGTCAATGGCGACAGCGTGGATGGTGACTACTGTCCGTTCTATACTTATCGTTGTTTGGCATATTTGGTTCAGAAAAAGAACATGATGAGTAATTAGAGGGTTACGTAACGTATTTGTTTATGTTGCAGGGTAACATCGAGGGCGGGCGCACGTCGCTGTGGATCCGAGCGTGGCTCCAGGAACAGCTGTTCATATTAGGCTGTTTCCTGCAAGGCGACGCCGGCAAAGTTCTATTTGTCGCGATTCTCGTGCTCTCAACGTTCTGTGTCGGTTTGAAATCTGCGCAGATACACTCGAGGGTCGACCAACTCTGGGTTCAAGGTACGTTAAATTGTACTTCACTGTGTATCTTTGATCTTTATTAGACGTGTACGTTGGAAGGGTAAATGCATCACGATAGAGACTTTGTGGCACATTGTGCATCTTGTGGAATACCAAAGCAGGGTGACAGCCCCGTCTGTGGAGCCGCTTCCGTCTGTCGGTACGTGCGCAGCATGCCGGCCGCCACTACACAGTGCGCCGCTGTCTGTAAGCGCCCTTATAAGTATTGTAAACTTGAATATAAATTCGTCAATCAACAATCTGAATGGGCATTTGCGTCCGGTACGTTACTCAATTTAGTCTAATTGTATTTCAATGTCTTCGTACTGTATGTAATTATTTTATTTACATACATATTTGAATGATAAACGTTTCAAATAAACTCTCTATAGTACCATACTGTTCAATTGACTTTGTCACAAACAATACAAATGACGTAACGTGAACGAATGCGACTTTAAAGGAATAAACTTAAAATATTATTGCTATATTGCTGCGACTGACGACGTAGCAAACTCATTTCTATTGAGAGTTGAGAGTAACAAATGTAATGAACAATGTATACAGGTAAATGAAGTTTATAATTGTAGTCATGATATTATTATAAATTTATAATTTGTAGTCTTAAATTAAGAACTTTTAACTTTTTTAAGTAATAAAATGATAATTCGTAGCAAATGTAACAAATCTCGTAGCAAATAATATTACTCAATTAACAAGCAAATAAGCGTCATGTTTAATTTAGAAGTATGTATTTTCAACGGACAATTGCTACACAATTATATAAACTGCTAGATAAGCTATTTACCATTAAGTTGATACGCGATAACGTAGTGGCGTAGCGGCAGCGTAGCGGCGGCGTAGCTGCCGCGTAGACGTATAGTTCTATAAATATTGTTACTGGAATCGTATATTAACAACTGATTATTCGATTGAACTATCGGATATTTTTATTCCTTAAAAAGAAATTGGTAATGAATATCACTTGCTTATAGCGACATTAGTATGCGGTCAGCGTGCGGTCATTGCACGTACTCCGTCTGATTTATATTCATTGATGTGAATTATTAATTTACTTCAAAATGTTTTATTGATGGGAGCAATGCCGAGTTGAAAATAGTTTATCATTTTCCGGGTGAGGATCTGAGGATCTGAAAATCATTAAAAAACCTAATCACAAGATTAATCTAACAGTAATTGCAGATTACACTATTGTGAAACATGCGTCACAACCAACTCTATACTAAATACTATCACCAGTTTGTATTTAGGAATTATAGGAATCATTTAGGAACATTATCGTAGACTATCTGATGAGTTAAAGATAATCAGTCAGTATTTAAAAAACTTCATAAAAAGACACTGTCCATCGTCTATTAATGGAGACAACATAAATGCACTTAGCAAGTTAATAAGAAATCAACCTGTAAAGTAAATTGTTATCAAGGCGAGCATAATCTTCACAAATAAGGCTGTTTTATCGTTACTTATCAGCAGTTAAAAGTTTTCAAAAGCGTTCAATATAATTATACGTAAAAATAAACGAAATCAAGTCTTATAGTGGAAATCGATACCAATTAATTGGTAATTTTATGGTTTTATCATGTTGCTGTAAAATATCGCGTCGCGTTTATATTGCTGCCCACTTTGATATTCATTTATAATTTGTCTTGGTTTATTAGAGTTATTAAATCTGTTTATCTTTTAATAAATCCTTTCATAAGTGTATGCTAACTATTTGTTTCTTTACGATTTAGATGGTTATTTAAATTTAGTAACACTATTTCGATTTCGTATCTCTCTATAAGTAAGTGAATATACCTGTATGTAATCTTTGTGAAAGGATTGTCCAGAAATACAGGTCGGGACATTAAAGCGAGCCATAAAAATGCTATGTTTAAAGATGCACGTACGTTTACTTGTGATCCCGGAACAGCCGCAAGACGTGAGCTCCGCGCATGCGCCGGCGAACACCAAGTATCTCTTACGGACACATCCCACCATTAAACTTTACTATTTATTATCGACCAGCATTTGCTTTTAACTTCTTTGATGTAACGTCAAGCTCGTTAATCCGTTTAATTGATATACTGCAGCACACCAGTTATGCACTGTCGCCGGTTCGAGCTCAATGCATGTAGCCGTGGTATTTACTTTGATTTATTTCACACAAAACAACTACAAGCGTCTTACAAATTAAATAACCTATGTATAATTAACGAAACGACTTTAACATTAATGGATATTGCTTAATTTCACGTTATACTTATTTTACCGGTTAAATCACTACCGATTTTATACACACAAATAATATTTTACGAATGCAACGCGAATAAATTAACAGTTTATGATAACACTCGTAAATATTTCCCTCTTTATTATGAAGCATAAATTGCTGACATTTATGTATCAGAAGGGGTGTAGGAACCATAATATTAATAATACTTCGTAACAGTAACACCGAAATAAAAAAGTTCCGTCAGCGAACGTTACGAAAAGAAGGTTTTTAAAACAAATAAATAAAAGTCTAGGAAGCGTGCTTCCAAAAGGATACAAAGCACTGAATAACCGAACCTTTTTCGTTATTTCGACCCTTAAAATGTTGGGTGGTCCTGGGCTTATGAATGTAAGAAATGGTACACGTTAATCGACATCTTTTTCTTACTTGAAACATTTGTTTTAATTGGCTTATGACGTCATGGACTAGGATGGAAGGAAGCGCATGAGTGCAACTTCCGCGCTTGCAACATCCCGGAATATGTGTAGCCACTTAATCACGAAGGTAAATACAAGTAGGTACTATGCAGGGACGTTCAAAGAGCCAGTAATTTTTTAATCCCGCACAGATCTATAGAGTTTTGAATAAGTTCATAATCTCTTACCCTTCTTACATCAGAACGTTATCTAGAAATTATTGCAAAAGGATTTATAAAACAAAAAAGAAACAAAAGATTTTATTAAAGCACCTGCTTCAACACCGGCTTGATACAGAACACAGATAAGAACATTTTATTCGCGATAATGGGAGCATCCCAAAGGGTTAAGGGCAGACTATACGAAACAACATCAATATGTATCTAAGACGTTTTAGGACTAAGACGATTGAAATGTCAGTTGATATAAAGTCGTCAGCTACTGTCCAAACAATACAAACACACTGAGAGGTAACAGCCAGACGTTATCGCGGAACAAAGCCGGCACAGTTAAACAATGCCGAAGGTCCCGAGTCGCCTAACAACTTAATTAGGTGGCCCGCGGCCGCCCGTAAATATCCCTACGTAAAATTACGACCAATAAAACTAAAAAAATGTATAACATTTCTATTGACTCACAAAAAACGAGGGATCTGATTGTCCGGCTCGCTTTTGTGTGAAGACGCCTTGCTGCGCGCCACGCTCGCCCACTGTGCCTCGGCCCCTCATAGTCAGAAATTTTCCCTGATTTCTATTGAAGATGGGCTGTGGTCGAGTTCTATGTAAACTGGTGTTTACTTGTGCAGCGAAGAGAACCATTATATTACCTATTATTTGCGGAACTTGAAAGGACTTACGGTACCCATTCTCTATGTTAGACAAAGTGAGACCAACTTACCTGCACGGTAATTAAATTTTCAAGTGCACGTAAGTATCTCAAAAACATTAATTTTGATGAAAATTAAAATAAGATAATGTAAAGTATACAATGTTGTACAATGTTGACGGCGTAATGTTTATCCACGCGCCTTGGAACATGTAGTAACGTACAACATTACTCTCGACCTACTTACTTAAGCTTGAGTAAACTCACAAGTGCATGCCAATATACAGAGACATAATAAGATTGTACAAACGACTTTAGCTAAAGTAGGCTGCAAATCCGTTCGGTGGGAGCTCGTAGACGCAGTTAGGTAGTTAAGTCAAATGGTTCGAATGTCAAATGAGATGTGCCACACGTGTTATTTGTAAGTGATACATAGTACAGGCCGGTATAATCTGTCAGTTGATTACACACCGCTCCGCCCGCCCGCCGCCGCGCACTCGTCGCCGTGCTCGCGCTCAAATCTCGCTCGGTACTCGCACTCGCTATGGACTTCTAAATGCGACTAGTTTTTGTCCAAAAACCGGCCTCAGGCTCGATCGAATTAGCGACCATGACCGAAATGTTACAGATTTCTCTTGTTAGAACTTTCCGTTTATTACTGACAACTTAAAAGAAATGTTAAACGTATAAGTATATTCCTGTATTGAAAACAATGTCGGAAAACCTAGCACGTAAGTTTTTTTATATGACACTTGATGTGTCAATTAAAGGTTGGGAGAGCGTGCGCTATCAAAGTCGCGTCATGGCTGTACGATCGCTCGCGACGCGTTGGCCACAAAGGACGCGGTTTGTTTATTCCGCCATCCATCTGTTGTCTACGCTATGGCTAATTTGCATAGAGGGGTGGTGGGGGTGCGCGGGCGGGGGCCGGACCACACGGGCTCGCACGGCGGCGCGCGGGTGGCCACAACCACATGCGCGAGCGCACGTACCGCCGCACTCCCCTCGTCCTCGGATCCTCTGCGACGTCATTCATTGCGATTGTCCGCGCTGATCGTCCGCTACCACATCGAGTAGAAATGTTGTCATTATCGACGCACACGCATTGCGAATGCAATAAAAGGTTTGAATTTCGCATTGATTATTGTGAGCGTACATTGACAGATTTAGGTACCATTCAAGCGGTCATTACGCATTGTGTTGTCAGAAGCGCTGATTATTATGTTGACTTATGCAACGACTATGTGCGTTGGCCGATAAGCGCAAGTATAGCTAAACTGTATAAAAGACACCGCCCTGCTGGACGCTGGCCGCGATAACATGCGATACAGTGCGGTGAGTGTGAAAGCTGTGCTCTGGCAGACACGTGTGATAACCTCACGTGACCTTGCGATGTTTCCGCGCTCTGCCCGCCCGCCTTTATGGCGTAGTACCTACATTCCTTTCGGAAGTGAACGTTCTCTAAAAATCAAACTAAGCAAGTAATTAAAGTAAAACACTGTCTTAAAGTTTTAAGACCGATGATGACAATTCTCGCCAAATTTTATTTGGTCAGTTTATAATTTTGCACCAATATACCTAGGCTATGAATCTCGATAATGATACTTAATCCACACTGACGCGATCCACAAGCATAGCTTGGTGCAGAGCGTCGTAAATCGCGCCCACGGCCTGGTAGGTGTTAAAATAGAGGCGCTCTGTGCGGCCGGCGGCCCAGCGACCCACCGGCCCAGCGCGCTGCGGCCCGCCACGCCAGTACGCCACCATGCTCGATTCCATTCCACTTGCTTTATGATAATCCCTAATATCCGGCACGAGTGGGGCTATGTTTAGCCTGAATGATTACGAAACGAACGCCCGCGCCCTTCACTTGGAACGACACTTCCAATGTTGATTTTTCTACGTCGCGTCGATAGTTTTAACTGACGCTTACATTTTATGTGGGTTTGTTGGCTAACTTGAGCTCGCATGAGCTTTATGAGAACTTCAGTATTGAAATTTAATATTATATTGCTTTGCGTGAAATAACAATCCACGTTATTGTTGTTTAAGCTACGGTAAAATGTTCAGTGTGGACGAAATAATACGATATACTGTATTAGTAGACGTTTTAATGATGAGTTGTCGCTGTGGAATTAAGTGATTCGTTGAATTTGTATAAATAAATATGAACTAGCACAATATTGTGTACATTAACACGCAACCATTAGCGTTGTGTCACGAACTTTAAACATTTTTCGAATTCCTTTTACCTGGGGACTTCATTTCACGCAGTTTATTTTGGAACCAAAAAAGTTTATTCTTTACCGTCCCTCTTGAAACTCGAAAAAGATACTTATTGTACAAATTTAAAAAATTTAAGTATGTTTGTGGATAGGTTTCAGGTTAAGCGATTCTTAATCGTATTAACACAAACAAGTTACGTTTGTATTCATTTGTGAAAATAAAAGTGAAAATTATAATCAACCCAGTTAAGACACTGCACTTACTCTTCCTTAGACGTTGTACACATACATTCACACACACTTGAGTAGCCGTAAAGTAAAATTAACTTAAAAGTGCATTGTGAGGATTGCTAGAGGCCACATGCAACATTACTGAACAATATCTATCATCTAATACTAAGATAGGAACTCAATTCGAATATAAAATAACAGAAACACCATCATCAATACATGTTATAAGTACCTAGTTGGTTCGTACGTGTACATTTGATACACACAGTTATACGCAACGGTGCGAAGTGCACAAAAAGTCTCGGCACGTCTCGTCAGATTTTTTGTTCCTACTCGTTTTGTAATTTTTAATGCTTATTACTTAATCTCATTTACATACAAAGTGTTCTGCGAAATGTTGATGGCATTAGCATTAGCACAATATCTGCGGTGATGAACAAATGAGTGGCGGCTGGCGGCTGTGAGGTGGTCGCGGGACGTTCACATTATTGTCATTGTGACATTTGCCGAGAATACCCAGTACTACGATATCTTTATGGGCATCAGCATAAAGTTGGTTATTTGATATCTTGTCTGATACACGAAGTACTTACTTAGGTACTGTTTCAGAAATCAAGAATCGAATAGTAATTGTACTTCTGGCTTTTTATGTACAAGTTGTGTTCATAAGCCGCTGGCTGTCAGGTACCTAATACATACGTGTTATTATCATGAATCGGCCCGCAAGTGCCTGGCAAGTGTTAATCGTTCGATTTTCTGCTCATTAAAGCTAACAACCGTGTAATTGGTACAGCGACCCTACTACTAGCGACCACTAGAAATAAATCATTAGTTGGTATTATGCAAATACCAGTATTGTTTATTTGTATAGCGCTCGGTCATTGTTGTGCGCGCTTTCTGTGCACTACATTGACCGGTCACGCTATAAATTAGCGACGAAAATAAAATAGCATTCCGAACGCGGAGCGAGGCGAGGGCGTTAACTGCCACTGTTTCACTGTTTCACTGCTCCACGGAACACATGTGTGAGAATAGTTTCCAATGTGGGACCGACGGGTTTCAAGTGTCTAAAGTCACGACGCGGCAACTGGCCACTTTGAAAGAAAGTTTTTTCTTTGAACATTCGAGAACTTTCAAGTTACATATAATACTTTTCGAAGTAATTTAAAAACTTTAACTACACTTATATTTTCACCAAACCTACAACGATTGTATTTTTGGCTTTAATAACAATGTTCTGAGCCAAGCCTTGTGTTGTGTAATCTCTAAATGCAGACAGAATGTGTGTGTGCGCAAATACGCACGAGTATCCTGCTGTTTTCATTATAATATTATCTGAATTCATCTCCAAATTTAATCTGAGTAGTATATAAATACACTCCACTTGTATCTACATAATGTATGTGTCTTCACAAGATAATTTAAGGCTAAGCGAACCTGTCAAACCTTTTTTTATTCTAACACGTCGTGCACCTAATTCGGCACAAAAAATGTTACAAACCGGCTTATAAATCAGCGGGACGGGTGTTAATTGGAACGAATTCTCTCGCCGATCCGCTGACAACATGCGAAATGACTCCGACTTTAGATCGGACAATCACGAATCTATTTTAATTTACATTGAATAAGCCATAACGAACACCTTTGTTTTAATTTATTGGACAAGTGCAATTAGTATTTATATGATTATCATTAGTACCATTACTTCAGCAATAGTTCATGTTGAATTTGTTAATTTGCTATATAAAATTGATTCCGTCACAGTGAATATACTGGGCGACCATTGCTCCTGTTCTTAAAATAAATACTAATTCGAAAAGTAATATCAACACGTCAAAACCACAATTAACTAGTGTCGAAATGTTCAACATCTGTTTTAATTAAAAAAATGTTCACTATTTCTAATTAAAAGGTGTCAGGCGACGATGGTGACAGTTGGAATAAGGGGCGTTGGATAGGAACGTGGTAAATCACTGGTCGTATGTGTTAAGTATCGCCTCGACGCCTGGCTCCGTCTGTCGCACAAATGTGTTGACTACAACGCTAACGCTATGAACCCGCCTAGATGGGGCGCCCAAGCTATATTTGGATGTTTTGACACACCATTTTGTCTACACCCCATAAAATAAAAAGAAATGCTACCGGTTCCAGGCGCAATAAATCTAACCAACTTGTATAATTGCTACAGTTCAGTTTGATCATGAACATCGTCTTGCGTAGTCGCAGACGGACATTGTAAAAAAATAGATATTGTCCCTACTTGTTATAAATCTTGCTTTTGTTTAACATTACAGAAACATCAAAATATTTTTTATCTTATACGTACTAAAATAGAAATTACAAACACACTTGTTTACTACGTAAACACCCGTCAAGTGTTTTGGCAAATAACTAATATTATGATATATTATGTAAATGACCTTGTAGTTCATTATCTATACTGGTTACCAGGGCGGGATACGACTTAATTAAGTGATTGCAATGAGTGCCGCATTAAACATAAGATTTATTTTAATTATCGTAATTATGAGAACAACACACGGTAAACAAACATACACTACAAGTCAATGTAAAGTTAATTACTTTTTCATCGATACATAAAATATTTTTTGCTGGACTCACAAATTACACGTTAATTTGACATTGATGTTAATATCGGCCACCACAGAAGAACGCTGCAGTTTTAATTGGATCTTGGTGAAACGTATACCTACTAGCTACTCGTTTTTTATTATCAAAGAATTGATGACGAACATTCTTTCATTTGTCAATCTGTTTATAAGTTATATTTGTTTTGTCAACAGAGGGTGGTCGGTTAGAAGCTGAATTGAAATATACCGCAAAGGCACTGGGAGAAGCTGACTCCTCAACACACCAGCTCATCATTCAAACTGCTAAAGATCCTGACGTGTCGCTACTACACGCAGGCGCGTTGCTCGAACATCTAAAGGTAACTAACTGGCCACATATTAATATGAACTAGAAAGCTACAAAGCATATACTAACTATAGATATTGTATAACCGTTATGGCAAGAAACTTTCGAAGCAATGGCTACAGGTCTCTTTTAGTTTCAATTCGTGCTAACACACGTTTCACATAAATTACGGTGGATGAAAATTACTCGTCGTATGTGCAGACGTAAGTTTTACGACAGACAGATGATAATTAGGTGTATTTATACACCACAGTGACGGCCCAGTGTCGTCGAGTCGAAACCTGTGACCTTAGAGTGATACGTCTACTAATTTTAGTTCATCCTGTCTCCAGAAATATTTGTCATAAATACAGGTTCATTTATTTATTGAGCTCCTTGTGTTTCTTCAGGTGGTCCAGGCAGCAACCCGCGTCAAAGTGCATATGTACGATATAGAGTGGAGGCTAAAAGACCTCTGCTATAGCCCCAGCATACCAGATTTCGAAGCTTATCACATCGAGAAGATCATCGACAACATCATTCCATGCGCGATCATTACGCCACTCGACTGTTTCTGGGAGGGATCCAAGTTATTAGGACCTGATTATCCCATTTATGTCCCGTAAGTAATTTCTTTAATTCATTCTAATAAAACTTACGTGTTTACATCAAAACCAACTTTGGAGGTATATTAATAGTCAATTTTATCTGCAGTGGACTACAAAACAAATTACAATGGACTCAACTTCACCCACAAGAGGTTCTAGAAGAAGTAAGGAAACTGAGGTTCCAGTTTCCATTCAGTACGATGGAAGCTTACATGAAGAGGGCAGGTATCACCTCCGCCTACATGAAGAAGCCATGCCTCGACCCCACCGATGCCCACTGTCCAGACACGGCACCCAACAAGAAATCAGGCAATGTGAGTATTCGCTAACGTTTATAATTTATGATGGCCAGAACGTCAGGTAGTATTAATCCCTTTTGTATGTACGTTAGTTGTTGTGTATGAATCATTAGTTACGGCTCCGTGAGACACATTTGGGGCCATTACGACAACTCCCGGACCTTTTATGAAGACTTCAATTTACGACAGTTTTACTGGCACATAAATAAAGCATGTAGGATCATGACAAATAAAATATCTTTATCAAGACACACACGTAAACTTTAAATACTTTCCATAATAATAAAATATTTTTGGAAACGGTAATAAGGCAGGATGAAAGCGGTCGCCGCCGGGCAGATGGTGCGACTACCTGCCGCCGGAGCTCCGCCCTGCGTGAAAGTTATGTTACCTACTATGTGATAACATCATCACCAAATATATGTTTCGCAACTGAACCTTTACACACTACTCATCAATTTTGTTTTGACACTTCATATTTTTTCATATTTTTCGACGAATCATAAATCAAAAAGAACGTTTCAATCGTAGCTGGTTCTTTAAGTGAACAAATTGTTTTTAACCAACATTACATTCGTGGCGGGTACTCAATTGCATTGGTTTAGTTTTTGTGAGTTCGCTGAGTGTCTGTCGCCACCCACGTTCGGCGAAGGGTCGGGCGCAGATCGGGCGCGCATTGTTTAGTGCGCCCGCGCAGCCGGACCGCCGCATTATACGGGCGCATTGTATGCGCTTCAATGGGCTTCGTTTGCCGCAGCTATCGCACGTCACAATGACACTATTATATCAATAATGCTCACCATCCGATGGAGGCAAGCACTTCCACGGAAACCTCATAATTTTTAAAGTTTACTTTTCATTATAATTGTCAATGACATTCCAGGAATTTGTTTGTTTCATTTGGTAATGGTTAAATGTATATTCAAGTACCTACCATGCAATGTTTGCAAACAAGCGTGATGATTTTATGTGTGTTTCTTTGAAAAGGTGTTAATTTAGTCCCAACTGACCTAGTTAACTTAGTACTAAACTGACTCACACAATTTATATCTATAAAAAATCGTTTATGATGCAGATTCCAGACGTAGCGGCGGAACTGTCCCACGGGTGCTACGGTTTCGCGGCAGCATACATGCAATGGCCGGAGCAGCTGATAGTAGGTGGAGCTACCAGGAACTCCACGTCAGCCCTGAGGAGTGCGAAAGCGTTACAAACGGTGGTGCAACTGATGGGCGAGCGAGAGATGTACGAGTACTGGGCAGACAACTACAAGGTGCACCATGTTGGGTGGACGCAGGAGAAGGCCGCTGCAGTGTTAGACTCATGGCAGAGGAAGTTTGCTGCTGTAAGTTTCAATTCCAAACAATACACGAATCAAAGATACAACTTTTAAAGAGGTTAACTTTAAATGGTTAAAATACAAGAGTACCGAGAATTGTTATATTTATATTGCATTCGCTTGCAGGAGGTGCGAAGGATGACTGTGACAGAGTCGGTGTCGCCGTCGTATAGTTTCTACCCATTCTCTACGTCAACACTTAACGACATACTCGGCAAATTCTCCGAACTGTCGTTAAAAAATATTATGTTAGGATACATGTTCATGGTAAGGAATTTAAAAAAAATATTTTGCACTTTCACTTCAATGTTTTATTATTTTATTTATTATGTTTGTTTTGTAGACGCTATTTTGAGTTTATTTTTTGTTTATTTCAGTTAATTTATGTAGCAGTGACACTAATGCAGTGGCGTGACCCAGTCCGCTCGCAGGCCGGTGTGGGTATAGCCGGGGTACTGCTACTTTCAATCACTGTCGCAGCCGGGTTAGGCTTTTGTGCTTTGTTAGGTGATTATTTTTATTTTATTTTTATTACCATTTTTGTTCTTGACCACGCACTTTTTATTGTTATTTCTCTTTGTTCTGATATAATTTTATTCACGTAATACCGTACATTTCACAGGTATACCCTTCAATGCGACAAGTACGCAGATAGTTCCGTTTCTGGCGTTAGGGTTGGGCGTGCAGGACATGTTCCTTCTCACTCACACGTACGTGGAGCAAGCGGGAGATGTGCCGCGCGAGGAGCGAACTGGCCTGGTGCTCAAGAAGAGTGGCCTCAGCGTGCTGCTGGCCTCGCTCTGCAATGTCATGGCCTTCCTGGCTGCGGCCTTACTACCAATTCCAGCCCTGCGCAGTTTCTGTTTACAAGTAAGTTTGCACGGTTATATATAATCACATAAAAATGCCTCACTTAATTTACATAACGTTCAATAATTTTGGTTATAGTTTGGTAACTAATGATTTTTATAATGAAATCTCTTGTTTCTTAGGCGGCCATCCTTCTCCTCTTCAACGTTGGCTCGATGTTACTGGTGTTCCCCGCTATGATCTCTCTGGACCTCCGGCGGAGATCAGCAGCTAGAGCCGACCTACTGTGCTGCCTGATGCCCGAGAGCCCTGTGCCCAAGCGTCCTAGAAAGATCGCTGATCGGTCCAGGAGTAAAAGTGGAAAGACTGAAAAGGTATGTTGTACCTTTTATCCTGAACATTTGAAGTTCTTGTAGTTTAGCTTTAGTAACCCAGTGTATTGTATATCATACAATAAAATTTCAACAAATGAAATATAATTCACAGACTGCTTGGAAAGACACCACAAAACAACCGTTAGATCCTGAGGATCTGGGCGACCAATCGAAAGTGACGTGCTGCTTGAGTCTGTCGCTCACCAAGTGGGCGAAGAACCAATACGCACCATTTATCATGCGACCTTCTATTAAGGTAAGATCTTCATTACGACCAGATACCATACATCCAAACAAATACTATATTTTCACATGCAAAATTTTTACTATTTTAAGTATAATTTCTGAAGCTCTAAAATTTACTCTTTTTCAGGTCACATCAATGCTAGCGTTGATCGCAGTAATACTGGCAAGTGTATGGGGAGCTACGAAAGTCAAAGACGGTCTAGACCTTACAGACATAGTGCCAGAGAATACGGACGAACATGAATTCCTATACCGACAGGAAAAATATTTCGGCTTCTACAGCATGTACGCAGTCACTCAAGGAGACTTCGAATATCCCACCAATCAGAAACTACTTTACGAATACCATGACCAGTTTGTTAGATACCAAATATAATAAAGAACGACAATGGCGGCCTCACAAAATTCTGGTTGAGCCTCTTCCGAGACTGGCTACTGGATTTACAAGCAGCTTACGACAAGGAAGTCGAGAGCGGATGCATAACACAGGAGTACTGGTGTAAAAACGCAAGCGACGAGGGCATATTGGCATACAAACTTATGGTGCAGACCGGACATGTGGACAATCCCATCGACAAATCTCTAATTACGACTGACACGAAAAACGGTCATAGATTGGTAGATAAGGACGGTATTATTAATCCAAAAGCATTCTATAATTACCTATCAGCGTGGGCTACGAATGATGCTCTGGCATATGGCGCTTCACAAGGAAACTTGAAGCCACAACCTAAGAGATGGACACATTCGTCGGGAGACACAGAGCTCAAAATACCGAAGTCGTCGCCACTTATCTACACACAGCTACCGTTCTACTTATCAGGTTTGACTGACACAGAAAGCATAAAAAACCTGATAATGTCTGTGCGGGATCTGTGCTTAAAGTTCGAAGCGAAGGGATTGTCTAATTTCCCGTCTGGTATTCCTTTCCTATTCTGGGAGCAGTATTTGTATTTGAGAACATCACTGCTCCTGCCCTCGCTTGTGCTCTAGCTGCAGTTTTTGTGGTAAGTTTCAATATTCTGGTAATGGAATATATTTTAATTGATAGTTTATTGCGACCTTGATTGTAACCTTATTTATTTATTGCAGGCTGTAATGGTACTCCTCCTGAACTTCTGGGCAGCAGTCTGGTTACTTTGGCTCTAGCGACATTAGTGCTGCAGTTGTTGGGTGTGATGGCACTTTTGGGATTCAAGTTGTCTGCAGTACCAGCTGTTTTACTAGTCCTTGCTATAGGCAGGGGCGTTCACTTTACTGTTCATTTGTGTCTGGTGAGTAGTTTACTTAATATTATATCATCCCAATTGGTTATTGTTCCCTACTAATAAGTAAAGCTAATCAACTTACTTACCTTACAGGCATTCGTAACTTCAATTGGTTGCAAGCGACGACGAGCATCTTTGGCTCTTGAGTCAGTGTTAGCTCCAGTAGTACATGGCACGATAGCTGCAGCTCTTGCAGCTTCCATGCTGGCCACCAGCGAGTTCGGGTTTGTGGCAAGACTGTTTCTACGACTACTGCTAGCACTGGTACTACTCGGTTTGATAGACGGATTGCTATTCTTCCCAATCGTACTAGCTATATTGGGACCAAATGCTGAGGTAAGTTTTTATTTTTTTATTGAATCGAATTCTTAGTAACTAAATACTCATATAACTATATGGCATATTTTCATTAACGACTATGAAACCGAATATAAAATTTTACTCTTTCCTTCAGGTTCGACCACTAGAATATCCCGAAAGACTATCGACACCATCCCCGAAGAGTTCCCCAGTGCATCCTCGTAAATCAAGCTCAAATTCTGGAGGAAGCGATAAGGGAAGTCGTGGAGGAAAGTCTGCGCCGAGACCATCGGCTCCTTCACTAACGACCATTACTGAGGAACCGCCCAGCTGGCACTCCTCCGCTCCCTCTGTACAGTCCTCCATGCAGTCCATCGTCGTTCAACCCGAAGTGGTTGTAGAAACTACTACTTACAACGGCAGTGATTCAGCCTCAGGACGATCGACGCCGACTTCAAAAGCGCCTCATCCGGGCGCTATCACTACTAAGGTTAGTTTAAAACTCATTTCTATGTGGTAAATACAATTGTCCTCGATTTTTTTTTTATTTGAAATTTCATAACGGTTTTTGAAAATAATGTTTAACTATTGTCTAAATCTTTACAGGTAACTGCGACAGCAAACATAAAAGTTGAAGTAGTGACACCAAGTGACAGAAAATCAAGAAGATCGTATCACTACTACGACCGACGTAGGGACCGCGATGACGACAGGGAGAGAGATAGAGACAGAGAAAGAGACCGGGATCGGGATAGAGATAGAGATCGAGAGCGAGAGCGAGACCGTGACGTGACCGAGACCGAGACAGGGATAGAGATAGGTCGAGAGAACGAGATCGCAGGGATCGATTTAGAGACGAACGAGACCACCGAGCCTCACCTAGAGAAAACGGCCGCGACTCAGGCCACGAAAGTGACTCATCGCGACATTGAAGACGCACACATGCCCGCTGTGTGTCCTGTACAACGAGCCACATCGTGTCAATACGCTGTGAAGTCCAGATATATTTGCTTGAATGCAACTAATTATATACTGTATTTAATGATCTGATCGATGAATCTGACATCTTTACCTGAGTTTATCTCTTATAAGCTGAGCAATCGTACGTAAACATGTTTTAAGGTTGGCAATACCGCTTATAATCAGTACCTTAAGACAGTATTACGAGAGTTGTAATTTTAAGTTAACTCTTCATATGGATATAGTGGAGGCTATATTGTAATTCGGTACATGATGGAAGTGCTAATATCTAACGTCCAGGTTGTGTGTAGCTATTAGTAAATAGTGTGCGTGCAGGACGGTACTGAAATCATTCCATAGCACGGCACTGACGTCACTGTACTGCGGCCCAGTACAGACACGTTCCAGTGTTGCCAGCTAGTGAATTCTTTACTGTATAAAAACCAAATATCATTTGTAGACGTCATATCTATTACATTTGTTTGTGTGTTCCTATTTTAAAGACATTTCCATTTGTCTCCAAACTCTTTATTACGTTTATACTTCTAAAGACTGTGGTCAAATATTATTAATTTATAATATTATTTATTTGTATGTCTATAATTATTCTGTCACCAGGAAAATCTGTGAAAAATCTCAGATGAATTGTACAAATTATTTAAGTAGTTGTAACTATAGGCTAGACGGCTATTTATGAGATTACTTAGTTATGTGTTATACCTACACTGTATTGTTGTGATCTTTAGGTAAACTTAGTAACTGTGAAGACTGCATTTAAAGATCAAACACAGTATTGTGTGAATATAGGGAGGCGAGGCGTCGGCCGCGGCCCGAGCGCCGACACCCAAACTGACCTCACGTTATGATCGGCGAGTTACGTTGTAACGTTTTGTGCAAAGTACTTAGTAGCATATATTAATTTATACGTACCTATATAACTTAATGATATTCTGTAAATATAGTCGTAGCAGTAGCAAGTAACTGTGCTCGTAGCAAGCGCCCCCGTGCGGCAGCTGTGTACATCTGTATCATTTATTTTTATACAATTTTAACTGACATATTGTCGAAAAACTGTAGGTTGTAGCTGAGATGAAAGCGTTTATTAACTTTATAGGTTTTTAAAAAATTAACAAATTAAATTCGGGGAAATGTAATTATTTTGACAGTGTTCATTGATATCATGCAGCATTTATTTACACTGAGAATTTGACTTTACAATTATTATCTAATATTCCAGATTATTTGAGTCATATTTTTATATCGAATAAAAAAAGTGTAAAATGTACGATCAACCGCACATTACTGGTAACATTTTGTTATCAAAAGTGCCTTTTTATAACTGTTCGAATAAATTCTATTAAATATCTACCGACGATGTGTGTTTGACCGTACATGGCATACATGGAATAGAAAAGTACAATTTTTGTATTAGGACTCGTCCTAAAATAATTAATTTACCCTAAAAAAAGCATGGGAAATTGTTTTAAATATTTTTTCTTCGTTTGCCACACTGTGACATAATTGTTATAGTTAAAAACAAGGTTAATGTCGACTGTAATGAAGAAATAAAAATACTTTTAAACTGTATAAGTATCTAATTTATTTCACCTTCTTATCTAATCTGTGAACCCTTGACATAATGATGTACATAATACAGATACCCTCTAGATAAAGTTTACAAACACAAGGATTTGTATATATGTGAATACTTGCTCTTATACCGTTTGTTCCGACGTACTAAATCACATTAGTTACTGCGTATATAACCTGATTTGACTTTGAACCCTAACTTGAGTTCGATTCGGTACTGAGTGATAAGTACACAAACTAATTTTTTACGATGAAACATGTTGATCTGTTCATATTTCTGTTTGTGTCCAAATATATAGAAATCAAGTAGAACTTTAAAAGCCAGACATGAGCGTAGTGACTCGTACAATGTGAACTACAGCAAAGTAGAATGTAATTACATACCAGGTGATTGTTCGTTTGTAATCTATAGATATTCTTAGAACAAAATCTATATAACAACATCACGTCTTTTTTCCCCGAAAGGGTAGGCAGAGGTGCACATTTACAACACTTAATACCACTGTACAATGTAATATCCAATGTGTGACCATAGGTGAGCATATTACCATATACTGGGCACATTTCCAGACTTCGTGCTACTACTGACTATTTTTTTTAAAAGCCAATAATACTTAGCCCGACCCGGTAATCGAACCCGAGACCCCGTGCCCGGTACTTGCAACCACTCGGCCAACGAAGCAGGTAGACATATGTTAAGAAAAACAAATGTTAACAAAATATTACAAATACCTAATAAGAATCAGAAAAGTAATATCTGAAAAGAACTAAATTAATCCCTCAAGCGGAAGTGAAATTCCTGAGTTCATAATTTTCGTAAACTTCCATAAAGTTATCATTTTTATTTGGTCGCGTCATCTTCTTTGAAAGAAAATCCGCAAAATTCGTTAGGTGTAACGAAAGCAATCCTCAGAGCGTACAGTGATCCGCTTAGCTCAAATTATAATAGTGGGAGGGTAAAATTTTGGCGGTAGCAACGCTTGCGACATTCCTTAGAAAGCGGGAGCGCGGGAATCAATAAAGGATTTCCTGGCGACTTGCCCACGCATGTGCGTGGCGGCCGGTGTCGCGGCCGGCATAACCTCGCACCACCAGCGCTCCCCTAGCCACCAGCCGAGCTACTCCATGCTGCGTTCTGTCATCAGCTCGCGTGTAATGACCTTCAGCCAAAGCGGCCACGGCGCATACTACGCTGCCCTCGTGTCGCTGGACCGGCTGCTGTTTTCGAGGAGCGTGCAGCTTGGAGACGTTCGCATCGGTCGCTGACCATCAACCCTATGTATGAGCAAATAAATCTCAGTAATAAGTAGTAGGCCGCTGCGTTATTGGGCGTATGATTCGCGCGCAGCGTCAGTGCGGGCGCGGGGTTGCGGGGTGGGTTGCGCGGGGCAGGTGCGCGGGGGTCGTGGCGCGCGACTTGGCGCGCGACACGCTTGTCCTCGCCTGCGGCCCGCCCGCACGACACCGGCCCGGTCCCTAACCTGACTGACACTACCACTCGATGACTCATGAACATACGTACAGCCCTGTGTGACACTGTCAGGAGAGTTTAGTGCGAACGGTGTGTAGCTCCATGTAAGAGCGATCAGTGCTGTGTCGGTTGTCGTGTGCCCTTGTCATGTGGGGAGTGCGATGGCGCTGATGGACAGCATGTGTCCGCGGAGGCCGCTGGGCCTGCTCGTCGCGCTGCTCGCGGCCGCTGCGCTCGCCAACCAGCTCGAGGACATCCCGCACAATGAGTAAGTGCTCCACCTTATGTATTCCAGGGCCTTTATACTACAGATTACATCAGTACCATTCGCATGAAGGTCCGTTAATGTGTAACATTGTCTCACTGTAATACATAAGATAACGATTTATCTTTATTATTGTTCCTCTCTGCACAAACAGGCGATAACCACATAAAAGAATGACCGGTCAAGTAAACAAAACGATTTAAGAATCCTGTCATTTATATTTGCAATACTTACCACTTACCAGCTTAGCCCACTGAGAATTTGAATTTACAATTATTTTGAAACTAAAATGTTACACAATCAATATTACGTATGTATGATAATTTAATAAACTTTTAATGTGCAACGGCAATGTCAATCTTGAATTAAGGAATATTTAATACATGTAAATTACCTTAATTTAGGATTAATTTTTTAAGTTTAAGATCGCATGTATTTTGTACATTTTTTGTCTTTTTGCCCAAATAAAGCATTAGTAACAGCGACATAGATATAAGTAAAATAACAGTAAGTAACTACGTAGTATTGAGAAGCCTCTTCATCGTAAAACGAGGCCCACGCGTTACATGTATCGTAATTGTATTAAATGAAGCGAAAAACTGATTACTTTCGGCGACGAGTAACTGGAACACTCATCTAGTACATAATTTAACTCCTTGAAAAGGCAACAAGTCTATGTTCTCACGTAAATGACAGATATTACAAGTAACACACCTATTCTCCCCTTAGGTAGGTTAGTTGTCACATTGAACATGTTGTATAAACTAAGATAAAGATTCATCGACACTGTAATCGAGACTTGGACAGGATCTGGCAGATTTAAAATTCCCGCCACTGTCGACTGGTCTAGCGAGGTACATATAGATAAGCTAGCTAATTATCTTACCCGGCTTATCTAATGCTCGGTCTAGAATAATTTTCTATTTTACTTGGTTTCTACAGACTAACTCAATTCGGACATTTAACCAAAGGTTTACTATACCTAATTACTATGATCACAAAACCAACCACAAAATGGTATGGTATAAACCATGAAAGTCCCAAAATATGCATGCAAACATGTAGTATAAAGATTGAGTCGTGTCAATAACCTCATGTATAATCGAACTATCTTAATAGTAAATCAAATCAATAAGATATGATCCTAAATCAAACACTATGTAGTGACATAGTGTATGATTTAAGATTCGAACCTAAACTATCCGAGTAAGCTGATGACCTAATCTAAATAAAAATTATCTTCTTTCCATCTTTAGTTCATATTCGAGCGATTTCGCTTCATAAATATAAGAACTTCGTCTAATCCGAGAGTCGACCCTGAGACTCCAACCTCACCAGTCACAGTTTTGACTACACGGTCAACGCGAAAATCGAACTTAATATAAAACGATACAATATATAATATTCATGGAAAACGTTGAAAATTACATGTAACCAGAGTTTCCTACTTTCCCGTACATTAATCTTATTATTTGCACCTGTTGCGATATTCCGCCATTTTTTTTCCTGTTTACGGTGAAATTTTTATGGAGGACGGAGTACGCCAGGTCGTTGTCGTATGACATAACTTACTAAGTTATTGGTGACGACAGTTTATAGCGTCACACCCTCTATTTTTTGTAAAAAAGAAACTAACTGACTGCTCCGATGATCTACAGCACTAGTCTTGTAATTGATGACTGATTGCTAACCAAAGGATTTTAGATTCGATTCTACATTTCTTTAAGGTATTAAACGAATTAATTCCTCAAAGAGTTAGATTGAGATGCTTATATTAGTTAAATATTTCAGTTACTTTTTACAACTTATATGTCTCAGAGGTAACTTTACTTAAAACTGGCGCCCAACATGGGACTACCAGCTATTAGTACAGTTCCCTAAGCATGTACTAATTATTCCCACTAGAGCTATCTCTAAACTTCTATATACTATTATATCTACACTTTAATTTCATATAATGGGAAAAATACAATACTATTACCAAGAACTTAGGAAAATCCAATAATAATAATTTGCTAAATCATATCAACCAATAACAAATCCTTTAATTGCCACCTCTAATCCAGTTGCTGAAAAATCACTAAATGAGATTAAGAAGATTTTTGAAAATTCACTACGCTAAGATTTAGAGCAAGGTCTGTATATGTGGCGTAGCAACAGTGTCCCCCATACCACCTACTACATGACAACACGTGAGAGTATCAAGGTAGGCCTCCTTCCACCTCTTTGAGGATAACAACCGCGTTACTTGTTACTATGTAAAATATATTTTAATTGTCGATTTGATATTAAGAGTGCATTCATATTTAATCAATCAAGATACAATAGAAAATATATCGGGACAATACACAACCGGTTTTACATGAAAAACACGTGGCACAGCCCACTTCTGAAATTCTGGACTATGTCCAGACCCATGTCTTACTTAAACCACATTACAGGATTTGCCATAGTCTCAACGCTTAGCAGGCGGGCCGGAGATCGTAGTTGAAAAGGTTCAGGATTATGAGACGGCACTGTTGCCCGGTTATGACACCTAGAACCTAAACAACAATTTGTGGATCACACAAAGAGTTGCTCCGAACCCGCCATACGTTGCGTGGCAGTCGGTTGCCCAGCCACCGCGCGAAACGTGCAGTCTTGGTATAATACATTGACCAAACCATTTCTAACCCAAAATAATAAAAAAAAGTTTAACAGAATTTATATTACTGTTGACTCGTCGCAAGTAAAAGTAAAAGCGTTATTAAGTGAACTTTGTCATGAATTGAGTAATTAACATATTATTTTAAAATAGATGGCATTAACTCAATTCATGAAAATTTACTTACCCCGTACTAGACAGATTTATAATCATTTATATTCGATTAACTACGGTGTCACACCATAGTTAAAGACTTGGAAGTAGCGATTACGGAAGTAAGCTATTGATTTTCCATATTATATGATGTATATTGTATTCTATCTACTCGCGTCATCATCATTATACACGACTTTCGACGCCATAATAATCATTCAATATTATACAGAATCTAATCGTTAAATAACTGTCAATCGTTGACTTCCTCGATGATTGAAAAGTTGTAATCTTGGCTATTAGAAAATTTCGCGTACGCTTTGTATATCGGTCAAAATTCATAATTATAATCGACACTGACCGTCGAAAACAGCACGGAGTTTACAATTCCCTTAAAAATAACTAATACAACTGCAGTTACATTAGTCATTACTTTAAAAAGTGCTCAAAATGCTTTCATGCTTTCATTTGATTTCAGTAACGCATTCAACACTGTCGATTTCGATGTCCTTCTCGGTATTCTGCGCTCCCTTAACATATCTCCAGCGGTAAACGATTGGCTTCAGAGTTACCTGTGTGGCCGTCGACAGCGTGTCCGAGTGGACACAAATTTCTCGACTTGGCGTAGTACTGCTGCTGGCGTGCCGCAGGGTGGCGTCTTATCTCCTCTTCTTTTCGCAACTTTTATTAATTCCATCTCTGACCAACTTCTATCTTCCTACCACCTTTATGCAGATGATTTGCAGATTTACGCGCAGGCACCGCTCGAAGAACTCTTGGAAGCAGTCAAAATGATAAATGCCGACCTGACTTCAATATCCAACTGGAGCTCGACTTACGGGTTAAAAGTGAATCCAGCAAAGACTCAGCTCATTGTTATCGGCAGCCCCAGACAGATAGCTAGAATTAACTGGACGCATATTCCACCGGTCACGTTTGATGGAACTACAATCCCGTACAGTAAATTTGTCAAAAATCTGGGTATTCTCTTTGACAGCACTTTGTCCTGGGCTCCACAGATTCAAGAACTGAGTCGCAAAATCTTTGCATCGGCGGCGTCCTTAAGAAGACTTCGCAATTTTTTACCAATCGCCACTAAAACTGCGCTTGCTCAATCTCTCCTTCTTCCCATCTTGGACTACGCTGATGCCTGCTACCTTGATCTAACAGAGGCACAACTGGACAAACTTGAGCGTCTCCAAAATTTCTGTATAAGATTCATATTTGGCTTGCGCAAATATGACCATGTCTCGGATTTCCGTAACAAGCTCAAGTGGCTTCCTATCCGTCTTCGCCGGAATACGCATATCCTGTCACTTCTTTACAGTATTCTGTACAATCCTGCTACGCCCTCTTATCTCAAAGAACGTTTTAAGTTCCTTCATGACGCACATTCAAGACACTTGAGGTCTACTGCGAATTTGAGATTGGAGATGCCAACACATACGACTGCCTTTTATGACAAATCCTTTGTTGTAGGAGCCATTCGACTGTGGAACGCACTTCCATTATCAATAAGACGGGCGCAATCTTTGGATTCGTTTAAAAGACAAGTAAAAGATCATTATCTAACACAGATTCAATAGAGTAACTGCTACCGCATATCCGTATGTATGTATGTATGTATCTGATTTTGTGTATGTATGTGTATGTATATATATATGTATATATGAGTATGTAGGCATGTATGTATGTGTGTACATATTGTATGTATGTATCTAAACTGTTCTGTCATATCCATTGTATTTAATTCAACACTATGAACTACCCACATGGTATCTGCTCTCACGGTTATTTATCCATCCTAAGGTTGCCTGGAAGAGATTGCTGTAAGCGATAAGGCCGCCCATTGTGCAACATGCCAAAACTATTTTTTTTACCTACCTACTATTTTCTTGTTCGTGTCTTTTGTAAGTGGTGTACAATAAAGTGTTTATTATTATTATTATTATTAAAATGCTCACTGCTATTATTTCTTTACACACATCAATAAATTCCTCTATGGTTGACAACACCGTCACCAATAGCTCGAAAGCATAGTTGCTACTGTAATAAGTAAAAAAAAACTGACAGTATGTGTGTCTATTCTGCAAGTATATGTACAACTCTGATAGCCACTCTTATACAATAACCAATTCCCAAATCCCTAATGCTCAAATCCCTCACTCCCGAAAGGCTGTCAAAGTATTGCAACTTCTCTGGTGTG